ATTTATTCATTCATGAGAGACAGAGAGGCAGAGACACAGGCAGAGGGAGAAGCAGGCTCCATACAGGGAGCCTGATCCGGGACTCCATCCCGGAACACCAGGATCATGCTCTGAGCCAAAGGCCAGAGGCTCAACTGCTGAGCCACCCAGGTGTCCCTGTTTGTGAGATTTACCCATTTTGATACATGTAGCTGTAGTTCATTGTCATTCCCTTGTCCATTTCATTGGTGGGCATATTGGGTTGTTCCCAGCATGGGGCTATTACAGTAATGCTGCTATGAGCCTCCTTGCCTATGCCTTCTGGTGGACGTGTGTCCACGTTCTGTTGGGTATGTATTTTCCTAAGAGTGGAATTGCTGAGGGGGTAGATGTCATGGGGTAGATGTATGTTCCACTTTAGTAGATAATGCCAATTGTTTTCCAAAGTGATTGTACTTGTTTATACTCCTCTCTGCAGCATGTGAGGATTTTCCATTCGCCCCCTCACCAGTACTTGGTATATTGGGAATTCTTTTCATATTAGCCCCTTTGGTCAACTCTATTTATTAAGTCCCCCCCATCTCCCCACTGATCTATGATATATTACCTTTGTCATGTAATAAGAGCCATAAGTGTGTGGGTCTGTCCCTAGACTCTATTTTATTCCACTGATCAATCTGGCTCTCCACCATGTTTACTATAGCTTCATGTTAAGCCCTGAATTCCAGAATTTGCTCTTATTTTCCTCTTCTTTTTCATCAATATCTGGCAATTCATGGCTATTTACTCTTCTATATAAATTTTAGAATCATCCTAACAAAATTCAATGAAAAACATTCTTGGTGGGACACCTCGGTGGCTCAGCGGTTGAATGTCTGCCTTTGGCTCAGGTCATGATCCCAGGGTCCTGAGATCAAGTCCCATATCGGGCTTCCTGCATGGAACTTGCTTCTCCCTCTGCCTATGTCTCTGCCTCTCTCTCTGTGTCTTTCATGAATAAATAAATAAAATCTTAAAAAAGAAAAAAACATTCTTGGAATTTTGAACAATTGTAAATTACTTCAGAGGGAGTTCACATCTTTGTTCTCTGTAGATAGGATTTATTTTTCCATTTATTTAGGTCATCTTTAATTTCAGTTAATAAAATTTTATAACTTTACATTGTCTTACATATTCTATTCAATTTATTTCAATTGATATTTTCTTATACTATTTTCAGGGTTTTTTCCTTTTAAGTTACATTTTCTAGGTTACTGCAGGTATATAAAATTTTAGTTGACTTTCCTATATTAATCTTATATCCATTCACTTGACTAAATTCTATTATCTCCAGTTATTTGTAGATTCTTTGTAAACACTCATGTCAAATAATGACAGTTTACTTATTTTCCAATCCTTAGGCTTCTCTGCTTTTTTCTTGTCTCTTTGTACTACCTGTGCTCTCCAATACAACATTGAATAAAAATGATCATCGTCTCATTCCTGATTATAAAGGGTGAGGCTTTAGTTTTTACCTCTTTAAGATGTTTTTTAGTCCAGGCTTTTTTTTTTTTTTTTTTTTTTTTTTTACCTTAGATATTTTTAATCTGGTTAAGGATATTCTCCTCTATTCTAATTTACTAAGAATTTTTATCATGAATAATAACTGTTGATTTTTTACAACAGTTTTTTAAAAATCTGATGTAATGATATCATATCATTTTCTTCTAGTTAATGTGATGAGTTCCATTTAGGACTTTTCTAGTATTAAACTATCCTTGACTTCCTGGGGTAAATATGACTAGGTCATTATTTATTATCTTTTTCTTTAATACACTGTTAGATTTGCTAATATTTTAGCAAATAGATTGCTAATATTTTGTATACATGTTGCATCTGTATTCATGAGTAAAACTGATTTGCTATTTTCTTTTCTGATAATATTTTTGTCTGATTTTGGCACTATAGATTTTTTTTGTTTTTTTAAAGTCTAAGCATTTTTTTAAAATTTTTATTTATTTATGATAGTCACAGAGAGAGAGAGAGAGAGAGAGAGAGAGATACACAGGCAGAGAGAGAAGCAGGCTCCATGCACCGGGAGCTCGACGTGGGATTTGATCCCGGGTCTCCAGGATCGCGCCCTGAGCCAAAGGCAGGCGCTAAACCACTGCGCCACCCAGGAATCCCTGGCACTATAGTTTTGCTGGGACAGTCTATGTAAGATCAGGATGATCTGGTTCATAAACATTTTGTAGACCATACCCTATAAAATTATCTGGGCCTAGAGTCATCTTAGTGAGAAGAGTTTTAAAAATATTTTATTTTTGGGAAATATCAGAAAGGGAGACAGAACATGAAAGACTCCTAACTCTGGGAAAGGAACTAGGGGTGGTGGAAGGGGAGGTGGGTGGGGGGTGGGGGTGACTGGGTGATGGGCACTGAGGTGGGTGGGTTTTTTTTTTAAATCTTCATGTTTTTTTTTTGAAGATTTTATTTATTTATTTTTTTTTTTGTTTAAAGTATATTCTTTTGTTTTTTTTTTTTTTTAATTTTTATTTATTTATGATAGTCACAGAGAGAGAGAGAGGCAGAGACACAGGCAGAGGGAGAAGCAGGCTCCATGCACCGGAAGCCCGATGTGGGATTCGATCCCGGGTCTCCAGGATCGCGCCTTGGGCCAAAGGCAGGCGCCAAACCGCTGCGCCACCCAGGGATCCCTTGAAGATTTTATTTTTAGGGGCAGCTTGGGTGGCTTAGTCAGTGGGCATCTGCCTTCAGCTCAGGTCGCAGTCCTGGAATCCTAGGATCAGCTGAGCCAGCCAGGTGCCCCAAGATAGTTTTTCATGGATTTAAATGAACCAGTCTTGGGGTGCCTAGGTGGCTCAGTCAGCTAAGCGTCTGCCTTCAGCTCAGGTCATGATCCCAGGGTCCAGGATCGAGCCCCTCATTGGGCTCCCTGCTCAGCGGGGAGTCTGCTTCTACCTGTCTCTCTGCCTGCTGTTCCACCTACATGTACTCTCTCCCTCTTTCTCGCTCTCTCTCTGTCAAATAAATTAAATATTTAAAAAAAAAAGATTCTATTCATTTATTCATGAGAGACACAGAGAAAGAGAGGCAGAGACACAGGCAGAGGGAGAAGCGGGCTCCATGCAAGGAGCCTGATACGGGATTCGATCCCAGGAATCCGGGATCATGTCCTGAGCCAAAGGCAGGTGCTTAACCACTGAACCACTCAGGTGTCCCATAAACAGAATCTTAAAAACAAACAAACAAACCAGTCTTTTCTTTTGTGGCTTCTGAGTTTTGTGCCATACTTTGAAAGTTCTGGGTGTGCTTCATTGTTAACCTGTAAATGTTGCCTGTGAGAGATAAAATAGTAGTTGCTGCTGCTTTTCTAAATAGCTGCTAAGATCTTAATAAATTAGCTCATGAATGGAAAATTGCCTTCTCCCTGGCTTCTGAATGTGCTGTATGCATTCCCACGGCCAGACTTTGTTCAGGCTTCCAGACCCTGTACAATTCCTCTCGCCTGCTGGTCCTGCCCTTCCACACACAGAACACTTCCCTTGTCCCATCCTCTGGATCCCGTCAGATCAGGGCCAGGCCAGTACAGAAACCAGTGAGGCTGGGCATGTTCTGTCCCCCCACACCAGTGAATCTGTCCCTTTCTCCCTTTCTCTGGGATGAAGGGATTGTAAACTGAGGGGTCAGAACCTGAGGAGGCTTGTTTCTAATCCTGTCCCTGCCGCCTTCCACAAAGGCTTTTGGTGCCACAGTCCTCTACAGAGTGACCATGACCTGTGACCCTAATGCAGGGCATGTGTGGTCAGTGCTCTGGGAATCCCCAGAGGATGCCCACAGCCTGGCCCACTGCTCCCCTGTTCCCTCCCTTAGGACTAGCTGTAGTGAGCAGGTGGTCAGGCTCAAGGCCCTGGGGCCAGGGTTGAGGGCATGGTCGGACTGAGTCTGTTGCAGTCTTTGGGCCTGGTCAGGACTTGTTTGGGGCTGGCTTCATCTGGAATGAAGGTCAGGCACTCATGGGGCTCAATTTGGAGGCAAGAGAGGAGGTGTTTCATGGGATTCTGACCAGGGTCTGGCTGCGAGGAGCCTGGTGCTGAGGTGGGGTAGAGGCCTGTGGGAAGTGAGACCTTTCTTGGCCAATACATTGTCCTCTCAATGCTCAGCACTCCCTTGATTCTGATCTCAGACCTTGGGGTGTGCTGTGGCTGGCTGGCTACGGGTGACCTTCAGGGAAGGCGTCTGGATCAAGCCGGGCCCAGAAGCTGTTCCCCAGCCTTTGCTGGGGTCAGGTGGGTTGTATCTAGCCCAGGCCTGAGCCCTGTGGGGGATCTAGAGGTTGGGCCCCAGCCCTCCCTCTGCCTCAGATCCACAGGGTGACCTTAGGTCGTCCCTGCCCCTCTTGACTGTTTATTCAACCAGTATTTCTGCTCTTCCTGTGCCCCAGGCACTATTCAGTGTCCCCATCATTTAGGGTAACAGATCCCAGCCCTGCCCACCTTGTGTGGGATGTAAAAAGCGGGTCATGTGGCTGAACTGACCCTGTAGGTGCAGAGGGCATGGTCCAGAGCACACCTGGTAGCTGCTTGGAGCTGACCTCAGGGAATCCCTTAAACCTGTTCATTCCCACTTTCACCCAGAGCTGCTGGGATACACCCTCCTTACTGTTCCCTAAGCCAGTCTGTTCTTCCAGGACCACCAGGCTTTCCAGGAGCATTGAGGCGTCCCTGGAGACCCAGGATCTAGTCCTGAAGGCTGAGTGACCTTGATCTCTGTCCTCCCAGTGCCCCGGATCCCCCCACTGAGATATGCTGTGGTGATTCCTGATGGTACTCCCACTTGGGCCTCTCCCTCCCAGGAGGACTATTTTCCATAGCACCACTGTCTGGTCTCAGGGGAGCCTTCGCCTGGCTGGAAGGAGGTGAGGGTCTGGGCAGCCACCAGGGACAGGAGAGGGCAGGAGGGTGTTTAGGGACTAGGACCTCCTCCTTTTCACTCCTAGCAACAGACACACAGAACCAAAGCAGTGCTCAGACTTCTATTTAAGATTCTGTCTCCCCTGGGTCAAATGTCCAACCTACATGCATCTTCTGGATCACACTCCCAGTGGGGTGGGCTATGTTCTGGTGGCTGAGCAGGGCACAGAGGAGGGGTCTGGCATCCTGCCCTCTGAGAAAGGACCTTGGTGAGGTTAGTGGCAGTGGCAGTGGCTGGGAAAGAGCTGTCATGCCCTGCATGGGGGTGCATGTGAAGTTGTGTCCAACAGGACAGAGGGCCTGTCCTGTGGAGAGCAGCCCTGAGGCCCAGCTCCCTAGAAGACAGTTCTCTCTTGGGATGGGGGAGGTCATGGTGAAATACCTGCTTCACGTTGGCTGTGTGCCCCTTGCCTGGCACTATGTTTGCTCAGCCTGTTCCCCCACAAGGAGCTGGGCCCCTAGCCCCTCAGAGGGAGGATCCCCTGAGAGGGTCCTGTAGGATCACGGGCATGGAGCTGATACACAGTGAGTGGGGAACAGGAGTGGGACAGGGGCCTGGGCAGGGGCATCCGGGGCGGCCTAGTCGTCCTTGTCCTTGGCACCATGCTTGAGAATGCGGGTGAACTCCACGTAGTTGAAGTTGCCTTTCTTATCAATGGGTGCCTCTCGGTACATCTCGTCCACTTCCTCGTCCGTGAAGCGGTCACCCATGGTGGTGAGCAGCTCCCGAAGGTGGTCCTCATGGATAAAACCTGGGGGCAGGGCCAGGGCCCATGAGACAGAGACTCAGGCTGGGCCACGCCTAACACTCCCACCTCACGACACCCAGTCCTTCCAGACCTTGCAGTGAGGAAGGGGCCAGGAAAAGACAGAGCCCTGGTCTTCTGCTAGTTCAAGCTCCTAGGGCCCCAGAGGGAAGGGTTCTGCAGTGTTTCTTGGGGTACTTGGAGCTGTGAGTGTGGAGGCTGGATATATCTTACTTTGATATGAGCCCTAGAGTTCCACTGCCTGAGTTTTCATGCTCATCCCTCTTCTTCCTGGCTCTGTGACCATGGGTGAGTTTTGTTTTTTTGTTTTTGTTTTTTTTTTTTAATTTTTATTTATTTATGATAGTCACACACACACACACACACACAGAGAGAGAGAGAGAGAGAGAGAGAGAGAGAGGCAGGCAGAGGGAGAAGCAGGCTCCATGCACCGGGAGCCCGACGTGGGATTCGATCCCGGGTCTCCAGGATCAGGCCCTAGGCCAAAGGCAGGCGCTAAACCACTGCGCCAACCAGGGATCCCCCATGGGTGAGTTATTGAACCTCTCTGTGCTCATTTGAGCTGGAAAACAGGGAGAAACATATGCCACCCTGATAGGGGACTCTGAAGGGAGTTAGGAAAATGTTCTACATGTACTTGGGCCTATGGCCCCCGAGAAACTACTGAAATCACTGTGCCAGCGTCACTCTGGCCTGTCCCTGGGACAAACTAGCTGTGTGGGACAGAAGTCCTTTGTAAGATTTTAGGATGGGGCTGGTTTCTGCACCTTGCTGGCCAACAAGGCCTGGAGTGGGTTGGTTTCTAAGGAAGGTCTAAAGTGGGGGCAGTGTACTGGGCCAACAAATGAACTCAAGAAGTGGGAAGCCTTGGTGAATGTGGGCTATTGTGGTCTAGCATCTGGGGAAGAGAAGAAGGATGCAGCATAGTTTTTCTAGTTCTGGCCACGGAAACCAGCAGATGGGGATTTCTGTTCTGGCCTCTGGGGACAGGGGCCCTGTAGTCCCAGCATAGCCAAGCCCCACTTGTATCCCTGGGGACACCCTGGGTGAAGCGCTCAGCTCCAGGCCTCCACCAGGATGCTGCTGACCTGAGGCCTCCTCATCGAAGCAGGCAAAGGCGTTTCGGATCACATCTTCAGGGTCTGTGCCATTCAGCTTCTCCCCAAACATGGTGAGAAACATGGTGAAGTTGATGGGCCCTGGGGCCTCACTCATCATGCCCTCGAGGTACTCATCGGTGGGGTTCTTTCCTGTGGCAGGTGGGGCATTTGTGCTGTCACTGCCCTGTCCCCTCCTGCCTTCCCATCCCCTCCTGCCTCCCCATCCCCTCCCTTCATGGCCTGTGAGAGTCCCACAGGCAGGAGCTAAGTTCCATAAACTGTAGAACATCTTGCTGGGGTGGCCAGCTTTCTGACTGTTCTCTTCCCCAAGCTCTCCAGGCTACCCTGACTAGTTTCCACCTCTGGCCTGGATATCCGTGACCTCTCAGATGTAAGAGCCACTATCTGCTGACTGTCCACTGTGTCTGCTGCTCCATGTGCCCTACTGCATTAAATTTCATCACCCTGAAAGGTCACCATTCTCACCCCTACCTCACAGGCATGGGACCTGAAGCACAGAGGCAAGGTGATTTACCCAAGGTCACACAGCAAGTAAGTGCAACCCACATTCGAACCCAGGCAGCTAGACCCCAGATTCCAGGCAGAGTTTTGAAAGTGCTTAAACCAATGAGCTGTGGTGTCACAAAGACTAGAGTCTGAATCCCAGCTCTGTGCCTTGGTATCCCCTTCCTCTTGGGAGTGTTGTCAACACGGCGGCACCAGTGGTTGTAAAATGCACAGAATAACACTTGGCATGGCCCTGTGGACTCATCAATTGCTGGGTTCAAATCCCAGCTCTCCCACTTACTGGCTGTATGACCATTGGTAAATTATTTAACCTCTCTGAGCCTCTATTCCTCATTTATAACTTGGGAATGATAATCATATCTACCTTGTAGGATATCTTTGAGATTTAAGATACTTGTAAAACTGCTGCTGCTTTTATGATTTGCTGCTCTTATGTTTTAACTGGAGGATAATGTTCTTAACCAGAAGGCCACGAGTGACCTGTGGCCCCACCGACAGGATCTACAAACAGGATGTAGCCTCTTCTGGGTAGATGTCAGCCCCTCAACCCAGGGTTGCCCAGCCCTCCAACCGGTCTTCCGGCAGTGTTCATGAGGTTCATGGTGACCACTGCACAGGAAGGAAGATGGGCACACGGTGGGGCTGCGCAGCCGTAAGGGGCAGGGGCAGGGACTCACTTGGTCTGGTCCCAGAGCTTGAGGCTTAACCACCACAGGCTGTATCCTCTACTACTGGAGGCTTCCTCTCTCCCTCAGCCAGTGTCTGACTTGGACACAGGGCCTGCCAGGAACTGGGGCTGAGGGTGGTATGTGTGGAGAGCCTGGGGGAGCAATGTGGGAGCAGGGCTGCAGACTGGAGTGGTGTGTTCCCCATCTGAGCAGTGGTGAATTATACAGCGTTCCTGAGCCCTTTCAGCTCTAGGTTTCTGATTTTAGGGAAGTCGCTGGAGTTAGAGAGGCTCTAAGGACCTGGCATGGGTGAACTTCTGAAGGAGAAGTCTTACTTCCCATGCGTACAGTGGAAAGTCTGTGCAGTTAAACTCTCTTTAGTAGCCCATCCTTTTCTTTAAATGAAGTGGAACCAGGCAGCCCAACCACAAATCTGCCTGAGGCCATCCTGCTCTGGGGTGAGCCTGTCTGTGTTCAGATCCAGTGCCCAACTGCTCTGTGCCTCAGTTTCCCTATATGTTAAATGGAGAAAATATTGGCACCTGCTCCCCAGGGTGGGTACCACACATCACTGCATGGGAAGTACTCCATAAGTGATGAGCAGCCCCACTGCCTGCTCCAGTTGCAACCCAGGCAGGACCCACTTAAACCCCAGCCACCGCCGTCTCTGCTCACCCAGTGAGGCCAGCATGTCATGCAAGTCCTCCTTGTCAATGAAGCCATCTCGGTTCTGGTCAATCATGTTGAAGGCCTCCTTAAACTCCTGGATCTGGGACTGGTCAAACATCGCGAAGACATTGGAAGTGGCCCGCTGTGGCCGCTTCTTGGTGGTTTTGGCCTTGGCCCGTTTACTGGACATCTTGGCTTCAGGTGGGTGGGGCTTCCCTGCAAGACGTGGGTGTGGGGGAAGAGCCTGTGATCCTGGGCCAGGGAATCTTCCTGCCTACTCCAGACCAGGTTGTCAGTGCCTGGGCCTGGCATTCAAGGCCTCCCACAGGCTTGGGGCTCCTGTCACCCACCCAGCTCATCACAAAAGCAGATAGGCATGGGCTCTGTGCGATAGTAAACGACTTCTCTACCTCTCCGAGCGAGTGTACTCATCTGGGAATGGGGACATGAGGAATGTCCAGCAGTAGGGAATGATTGATTTAGTGTCTGAGAAGCCCCTGGAATGGTGCCAGGCCTAGAGTAAGCTATTTTTGCTGTGGCTGTTTGGGTAAGATACTTAGGATTGGGTCCGGTGCCAACCTGTCCTTGCTTTATCTCTTTTAATCCTTCCTAGCATTTAAACTGTCCATCCCTCTCACTCCAAATGACAAGGTGGGTTGAAAAGTGGGAGGCTCTGAGGCTCCCTGCTGGCTCCTCCTGCCCCCAGCAGTAAGGAGCTGGATCACTGGGCCTGCATTCCTGACATTCTTATCCTGTCCTCCTCCTCACTCCCCCCCCCCCCCCCATTCCCTCTGTGCTCCCAGCTCTGGATGTTCTGGAAGGCATATGCTCTGGGCAGTCCCCTCCCCCAACCCTGCCCACACTGGATCAGCCCCTCAGGTTGGCGATAGATCTGATTTGTTCTCACTCTTCAGTGCTTATAGGGGCATGAGGATCCCCCAGACTGGGAGCCCCAGCTTCTTGTCACCCTTGTTTAGACCTGGCCTCCTAGCTTCCAGCCAGTCTCTCCATCCCATAGAGACCCAGACCTGTACCACCTATCATTTCACCTTGAAGCCCTCAAAGGTTCCTGCCACCCCCTGGAACAAGTCTGGGCCCCTGAGCCTGGCATTTAGGCCCTTGTGTGAACCCTCTAACCCTTCTCTTTGACTGACTGTGGCACCCTTCCCTGTTCCCCCTCTTGCCATCTATGTTCCTGCCACGCTGAGCCTCTGGATGTTTCCTAGACACCCCCAGACTTTCTTTCTTGGTCCCTCCCACTGAACACCCTTCCTTTTCCAGCCTAGTTCTTGAGAACACCCCCTTGGGGGGCAGTTCCCCCACCCTTGCTTTGACAGTAAGCATGTAGAGGTTTTTCCCACCCTCCCCTGATAGTAATTTCTAATAGGCTAATGGATGATTGTTTAATAAATGGCTTGAGGGCAACTGCAGCCCGTCTACTGCTCCCCACTACCCAGATGGAGAAACTGAGCCACAGCAAGGTGCTCTTTCCCTGAACCCTGTGAAGACCTAGTGCTGTGTGCCTGTGTCAGCTGGGGCAGGTGTGGGCCTGGCTGAGGCCACAGTACTAATGCCCCCCTTTCTCCTCTGCCCTGAGCCCTTGCTTGCAGGGCCTGCCTCCAGGAAGCCTCTGCCTGTTTTTAGCCCTAAATTGTGTGCTTGTGAATGTTCCTCGACCTGTCTCTAGGCGTTTATCCCATGACCCTGTTCTAGTCATTCTCAGACTTTGGTCTTTGAGATCTTAAACCATGAGCAGGGATCCTGACCAGCCCTAGCCCTTCCCTATGGCCACAGCTGCCTATAGTCATGACATACTGGCTGCTGTGTCCTGCTGGACCCACACACCTGGCCCTGGGTATTTCTCACATGGTTCAGAGTGCATAGACAGATGCCCTTCGCACCCATGGCCTGGATCGGAGTGGGGTGGTGGCATCAACAGGGGTTTAGTGCTTTGAGGGGCCAAGTCCTTCCCTGAGCCCACTGTTCACCAGGAGCTTTGACTTATGGCACCCACAGAAGGCAGCCAAGAAGTAGACCACAGCCATGAGAGGCTGTGATGGTCATCATCACTGTTGTCACCACCCTCCTGTCTGCGAAGCTTCTAGGGCAGACTCAGCCAGGAGGAGAAAGAAGTTACAGCTGGAGGCAGGAATGGTTAGGATCTTACCCACTGCTCTGATACTGGCCTGGCCCTTCTTTTTTTTTTTAATTTTTATTTTTAGATTTTATTTATTTAGTAATGAGAGACACACAGAGGGAGAGCAAGAGAGAGACAGAGACACAGGCAGAGGGAGAAGCAGGCTCCATGCAGGGAGCCTGATGTGGGACTCGATCCTGGGTCTCCAGGACCACGCCCCAGGCTGCAGGCGGCACTAAACTGCTGCGCCACCCCACCAGGGCTGCCCTGGCCTGGCCCTTCTGTCTCCAAGGCCCCCCTTCCCCACCCTCTTCTATCCAGAGACCATGACATGACTGAAAGCACTGAACTTTAGGGTTTGTCTATCCCCGCGATCTTGGGAAGCAGGGTGAGGGCCCCACCCCCACCCCCACCCCGACTGTGCAGTTTAAGAAGTGATGCCCAAGAAGGGAAGTAGCATGCCCATGAGAAGGATAGAGTCTAGCAACTGGCAGCTAGCACCCTAGGCTTGGGTCAGTGGGTGGTAACGGCCAACCCCTTAATGCCTCAACGCAGAAGGAAACACATATCCTTAAGAGGCTTATGGTGGGCCTACTGCAGCTGAGGGCTCTGTGTGACCAAAGGCAGTTTCTAAGCTTGGTTGAGGAAATGAGGTCAGAGACAGGCCAGGTCCTTAGCCCTGGAGTCATCCCCTCCTGCTCCTGGAGGTCCTAGACACTAGGGATCAGATAGAACTAGTATTTGGACTGGCTGCAAGTAGGTGCCACCTCCCTCCTCATGCCTGAAATCACCCCACAACAGCAAGGACTAGGCCTGTGTTCCCCATTATCTCATGGTCCCAATGGCTGGTAGTGCAAGATGCCTTGCTAGGAAACTCACCTCCTCTGCGGCTGAGTTACCTCTTTCCTCAGAGCGGTTGGAGGGCTGGAGAGGAGGAGCAGGGACCAAGGTCCCCCGGTCCAGGTCCCTGTCCAGCCGGCAGTGCCCTTGGGAGACCCTCCCCACCCAACAGGCGCCGTCGTTGTGCAGATGGCCCAGTCCTGGAAGCCCCCAAGTGCATGCACACAGCGTTAGCCTGTGCTGGGCGGGTTACCCCAGCTCCTTCCGGCTCTCCTGCCCCAGGAGATGGGGGTGGGGAACACGGATGCCCCGGAGGGGTCTCAAGGAGCCTGATGGGGCTCAGTTTCCTGTCTGAACCACATGGGTTTACTGGGGCTGGGAACGCCGGCGACCTCCCCTCCTATGGGCACCCCAGACTCTGGGCTTGGCGTCTGTAACTTCCCTCGCCCGAGGACCACCGGCTGCCAGAGGCTGGAACTGCCTCCCTGCTGCCCAGCGCTGGCCAGAGTCCCGTCCCAACCGCGCCTCCCAGCCCCAGGCCCGCGAGGGCTGTCCTTGCCGAGAGCACGGGCGTCCCGTCCGTGGGGCCGCACACCGCCTGCCCTGGCCCCCCGCGTCCGCGGCTCCCACCTGGTGCGGAGAAGGCAGAAGGCGCTCGCTCGCTGCCTGGGGCTGGTGCGGGGCCGCGGCCCTCAGTCGGGCTCGGGGCTCGGTGGGCGGGGCGGCGCGGGCCTTACAAGGCAGAAGAATGCGCGGCGGGGCGGGGCGGGGCGGCGGCTGGCGCAGCCTTATTTGGCCTTGACCCACGGCGGGCGCTGGGTGCGCCTTCCCCGAGTGGGCAGGGGAGGTGATGCGGGGCGGCCCGGGACCCCTCTCCCCTGGTTGTCGGGGAGGTGGATTTATCTGGATTCCCCCTTCCTCCCCAGGGAGGCAGGCAGGCAGGCAGACACCGGCTCCCACTTTTCAGACCCTACCCCCGTTTTTCCCCGAAGGCCGCGGCTGCCAGGCCCGTTCCAGGCCCGTTCCAGGCCTGTTCCCGTGGGAGGGCTTCCTTCCACCAGGCCAAGTATGGTTTTTTTTCCCAGTCTGAAAGAAGGCGTGTCAGACGGCCCCGCCATCCTTCATCCTCACGTGCAGGGCCACTGGTCAGGCCCCTCCTGGTATGGGGGCTCACCTGGGGGCTGGGCAGGACTGTGCTGGCGACAGCCCCCCTCAGCCAAGTCACTCTCCTTTCCCGCAGGCCTCAGTTTCCTGTAAAATGGGAGGGTGGTGGTAAAGATTCAGGAAAAAAGAGTGGCCAGGAAGACCCAAGTAGTAACCCTGGGAGCCAGCAAGAGGTTCAGAGGCTGGGGGAGTTCTAATCTGACCAGCACCTAATCTGATCCCCTCTTGTTGGCATTAGTTGGAGGATGGAGTCAGAGAGGACAGACCCACCCCTCCCCCATGGTCCATCAGGTCCTGTCCATCATTTTGACCCTTGAAAGACCACCCTACCCACCTGGACTCCAGCCCAGCCTTCTCTCATCGCCCCATTTTGAACCAACACAGACTTTCCCAAGGGAACCTTCCAACACCCACTTATTTATTCTGTAAATATTAACTGACCCCTGTTACCTTCAAGGCATGGTGCTGAGTGCTAGGGAAGCAGCACTGCGCTGAGGTCATCACACTGGGGAAGCAGTGTTTGTGAGGAAAATACAATGAACCAGTAGCTACGTGGCTTGGAGAGAGAAAGGAGTTCCTTGAAGGAGAATAAAGCAGAGTTATGAGAGAAAAAGAGAGAAAGGAGGGAAGGAAAGGAGGAAGGTAGGAGAGTGCCTCCTGGGAAATGACATTTGGGACTACCAGAAGTGGTGACAGAGTGAGTGAGGCAGGTAAGGGAACTTTGCCCAGCTCCTGGTCTGGGAGCAGCCAGCGGTGAGTGTGACTGTGGGGAGGGGGTGGGAAGAAGCATGGGAGATGAGATCTAAGAAGCAGTGGGGACTCAGCCCCTGGCTCCTTGTAGGCCACCATGAGACATCAGAGTGCTGAGTGGAAGGGTGACGTAATCTGGCCTGTGTTTTAACTGATTCCCTCTGGGTGAGACCAGTGAGGAGCTTTTCAGCAAGATGATGTGTTTGAACTGGTGTGGTTGCAGTGGAGCTGGGGAGAAGGGGTGGAGTTCTGAAAATATTCTGAAGTTGTGTCCAATAGGATTTGCACATGGATTGGAATGTGTGTGAAAGAGAAGAGTCCAGGGTGACTCCAAGAGTTTTGGTCTGAGCAATGTGAGAGAGACAGCTGCCACTTGCTAACAGGGGTCAGCTATGGAAGGAGAGTAGTTTTGAGGAGAACTGTTTTGGACTTATCTATTTTTAAAAACTGTTAACTTTGAAATAATTTCACACTTGCGGGGATCCCTGGGTGGCTTGGCAGTCTAGCGCCTGCCTTTGGCCCAGAGCATGATCCTGGTCTCCTGGGATCAAGTCCCGCATCTGGCTCCCTGCATGGAGCCTGCTTCTCCCTCTGCCTGTGTCTCTGCCTCTCTCTCTCTGTATCTCTCATGAATAAATAAATAAAATCTTTTAAAAAAATTTTCACACTTGCAATACGGGTATGGGAAGTATACAAAGAGTTCACCCAGACTCTCCAGTTGTTAACATTTGGCTTTATTATATTCTCTTCTGTGTGTGCGTGTATGTGTGTATGTATCCCGCCCCTGCCAGCATCATTTGAGAGTGACTTGCATTCATCATACTCCTTTACCTGGGAATACTTCAGTGAGTATCTCCTAAGAAGGGGATTCTTTTCTTTTATTTTTTTTTTAAAGATTTTAAATTTATTTATTCATGAGAGGGGATCCCTGGGTGGCGCAGTGGTTTAGCGCCTGCCTTTGGCCCAGGGCGCGATCCTGGAGACCCGGGATCGAATCCCACGTCGGGCTCCCGGTGCATGGAGCCTGCTTCTCCCTCTGCCTATGTCTCTGCCTCTCTCTCTCTCTCTCTCTGTGACTATCATAAATAAATAAAAATAGAAATAAAAAAAAGAAAAAAAAAAGAAAATTGTTATTTATTCATGAGAGACACAGGCAGGGGAAGAACCAGGCTTCCTGCAAGGAGCCTGGTGTAAGATTCCATCCCAGACCCCAGGAGCATGCCCTGAGCCAAAGGCAGACACTCAACTGCTGAGCCACCCAGGTGTCCCAAGAAAGGAGATTCTTTTCCATATCCATTGTATCAAAATCAGAAAAATTTAACATTGATTTAATACTGTTATCTAATTTGTAATCCATATTCAAGTTTGCCAGTGATCCCAATAATGTCCTTATAGAAATTTTTTTTTCTGGTCCACCAGCCAATCCTAGGTTATCATGTTTCTTTAATCTGTGTGTGTGTGTGTGTGTGTGTGTGTGTGTAGTTAAAAAAAACATAAAAATTACCATTCTAACTGTTTGAAATATGTAGTTGAGAGGCATTAAGTACATTCTAAGTACATTCACATTGTTGTGCAACCATCACCACCACTCATCTCCAGAATTTTTTCTTCCCCCACAATTGAAATTCTGTACCCATTGACACTAACTCCCTGTTTTCTTTTCTCAGCCACCGGACACGCACTATTCTACTTTGTCTCATGAATTTCACTAGTCTAGGCACCTCCTGTAGATGAAATCATGAAGTCCTTTTCTGACTGGCTTATTTCTCTTAGCATAATGTCCTCAAGCTTCATCCATCTGGTAGCATCTGTCAGAATTTTCTTGCTTTTTAAGGCTGAATAATATTCCATTGCACAGAGAGACCACATTTTGCTTATCTATTCACCATTGATGAGCATTGAGTCATTTCTACTTTTTGCCCATTGTGAAGAGTGCTGCTGTGAGAGTTGGTGCATATGTTTGTGTATGTGTGTATGTTTTCACCTTTTTAAAAATATTTTATTTATTTATTTATTCACAGGAGACACAGAGAGAGAGAGGCAGAGACACAGGCAGAGGGAGAAGCAGGCTCCATGCAGGGAGCTCGATGTGGGACTCGATCCCAGAACTCTGGGATCATGCCCTGAGCTGACAGCAGACGCTCAACCTCTGAGCCACCCAGGCGTCTCAGTCACCTCACTGTGGTTTTGATTTGTATCTCCCTGATGACAAGCTTTGTTGAACGTCTTTTTTTTTAAGATTTTATTTATTTATTTATGAGAGACACAGAGAGAGAGAGAGAGAGGCAGAGACACACAGGCAGAGGGAGAAGCAGTCTCCATGCAGGGAGCCCAACAGGGGACTTGATCCCGGATCTCCAGGATCAGGTCCTGGGCTGAAGGCGGCGCTAAACTGCTGAGCCTCCCGGGCTGCCATGTTGAACTTCTTTTCATGTGCTTTCTGGACATTCATATATATGTCTTTTTTGGAGAAATGGTTATTTAGATATTTTGCCCATTTATATGGCTTGCAAATATTTTTTCACATCCTGTGAGTTATCTTTTCATTTTCTTGATATTTTCAAAACACAAATGTTACTTTGCGAAGTTTATTTTTTCTAGTTTCTCATGCTTTTGGCATTATAATTGAGAAGCCATTGCCTAATCTGAGGTCATGAGGATTTACACCTGTGTTTTATTCTAAGAGTTTTATAGTTTTCGCTCTTATGTTTAGGTCTCTAATCCACTTGGAGTTAATTTTGGATGTGGTGTGAGGTAAGGGTGCAACTTTCTTCCTCTGCATGTGGCCGTCCAGTTGTTCTAGCACTATGTTAAGACTGGTCTTTCCTTGCTGAAATTCATTGGCACCCTTGTTGAAAATCAGTATTCTTAAACATATGTGTTTATTTCTGGATTCTCAGTTCTGTCTCATGGATATAAATGTCTATCCTTCTTCCACCACCACAGTCTTGATGACTTTAGTTTTGTAGTTAAGTTTTGGAATCCGGAAGTATTATCAAGTTTTGTTCTTCGTTTTCAAGATTGTTTTGCCTTTTCAGGGACTCTTGCATTTCGATGTGAATTTTAAGATCAGCTTGTCGATTTCTGCAAGGAAAGAAGGTTTTGATAAAGATTGTTGAATATGTATTACCATTACCGTAATGGAGTATTACCATCTTAATATGAATTCTGATCCAGGAACGTGAAATGCCTTTCCTTTTACTTAGGGCTTTTAGAATTTCTCTTAATGATGTTTTATAGTTTTCATTGTACAAGTGTTATACTTTTCTTGTTAAATTTATTCCTAATTATTTTATTCTTTTTAATGCTATTATAGATGAGATTGTTTCCTTTAATTTATTTTGAGTGTTCATTAGTACTTGAACTGTTTTTACTTACAACACTTTTGATACATAATGGGTTTTTTTCTTTACACCAACCAATTCTCTGGACACCAACTGTTGTTCTACAATTCTGTTCAGTTCTAAGCCTTACTATCTGGGGTTGGTGTCAGACTCCATGGGTTTAAGGGCTCAGTCCCACAAGATTGCCCTCATATCAGATGCCGATTGCAAATATTGGTTACCCAGGTCACCCACATTTATGTCCAATTTAGCTACAAATGGGTTCCTACACCTTCCCACCAGGTTAAATTGCTGGAACTGCACAGAGAATGGAGGAAAACTTATTATTACCAGTTTACTATAAAG